TACTTGGCCTACATGGTCGCAGCGAAGAAGAAAAGGCGGGGCCGCCGCGCGGCATTCGCCAGTCAACCCAGCGGTCGCGCAGGTGGCATCCACCATGTTTCTAATTACGTACATATTCCTGCTTCGCATACCATCCGAGTGTTTACCCATCCGGTGGTGCGGCAACACTCTGTCGCGCGGCCGCACGGCGGGCCGCGCCGTCTGGAAGCGCGCGCGCGCTGGGGCACCCGCGCACGCGCCGAACGCGCTAGGCGGAGTTGGCCATATCGGCAGACGAGGCACTCCTCTGGTTGCCAAGGCGGAAGAACAAGCCGTGCGCGTCGATACTCCGCCGGAGGTGTTGGTGCCGCGCGCGCGCCGTGCACGCGCTGCCTCCGTTGCTGCGCGGCACAGCAGTAGGCGCTCAGCCGTTCGCGCAGTTCTCAGGGTCGGATGCCCGGCGTATCCTTCGGTCCCTATTGTCCAGGATAGGCGTAGACAGCGCCAACCTGTTCGGTACCCACGACACACGAAGGTCGCGACCCGCGACCGCCCGCGCGGCTCGGCGCGCACACCCCTCCGCCCCTCTCGCGCGCACAAGGGGGCACGCCGATGACATCGATCGCGCGGGTGCACCGACCGCAGTAACGAAGGAACGTGGAGGCTGGGCGTCGAACGCCTACCTGGCTTACATCGACCGCGTCCGGGTCGAAAGTGAAAAGGTAGCGGCCGCGCGCAACGCCGCGTCCGACTGCTCGGACAGCTCTGACAGCAGCTCAGACACCTAGTGTGGCTGCGACATCCCGGCGCGCGCCCGAGCGCCGCGCTCCGCGCGCGCAACGGGTGAGCGGCGCACGGCGCTGGTCGCATCGTTGCATTGGGTCGTGCTGCGACCAGCGCCGAGGCCTCGCGGCGCCCGCGCCCTCTCGGCGCGGCGCAGGCTTCGGCGCACACCCAACGCTGTGGTTGCAGACGCAACCCAGCTACGGGTGAGCGGGGTGCTCAGCGAATTCGCGTGTATGGAACGAGTTCGGCCCCTGGTTCCATCGCACACACTCGCTGGCCCCAGGCGCACGCGGCGGACGCAGGCGCGAGCAGTCGCCGCGCCGCCGCTTGGCTCGCGCGCGCCGCGGCGCGCCGCAGGCGATGTGGGCAGGCCCGCGCGCCCCCGCGCGCGGCCGCTGCCCGCCGCGGCCGCGCGCAGGCACCACAGGTTTGTGTGTGCCTGGGGCGCGCGCCCCGCGCTCGGGATTTGACCCGTCCGTGCCCACCCCGTTTCTCGCCCGTTGCTGGGTCGTGCTGCGACCAGCACCGAGTCCTCGCGGCGCCCGCGCCCTCTCGGCGCGTCGCAGGCTTCGGCGCGCACCCAACGCTGCGGTTGCAGACGCAACCCAGCTACGGGTGAGCGGGGTGCTCAGCGAATTTGTGTCAGCAGACCGAGTTCAGGCATCTAGATACTTGAGACTAGCGCTCCTCTGGATCTTCTTTCGAGTGCTGTCGAACAGCTCTGTAGCTCATCTGCAGCTCGATTTAAGTTCAGAAAATCATCAGCATCTTAAGAACAAATTAGCAGAGTTCGAGCGTTCCAGAGCGCTCCGGAACGGCCGCGGCGCCCGACACGTCCTCCAGAACAATTGCATATGAGAGATCCCCGATTCGTCTTGGTGCGATTCTGTCCCAGTCCTGGCTTCGTCTCAGTCAGCGTCGCGGCGCAGGATTGCGCAAATTCCTGTCGCCACACCAACTCCCCCCGACGAGGAGGAGGAGGAGGAGGAGGAGGAGGAGGAGGAGGAAGAAGAGGAGGACGAGGACGAGGACGAGGACGAGGACGAGGACGAGGACGAGGACGAAGACGAGGAGGACGACGAGGAGGTCGAGGAGGAGGAGAAGGAGGAGGAGGAGGGCTAGCTCAAGAGCCCGAAGACGGACCGCGCCTCGAGAAACGCAGAGCGCGCTGCACGCAGAGAGTTCAGGGAGGCCTCTGGAGGTCCCGGGCAGACCTCCCTGAGGCCTCTCGGGAGGCCCAAGGAATCAGAAGCTGCAGAATGCCTCGGGCAGGGGGGGAGGAGGCGGGGGGAAGGGAGCGGGGTGTGGAGAGGGGGGGAGTAGTAGCTTTGTTGTCCGTCGCCATGTTTTGCTCAAGCCATTTTGGTTCAAGTTTGAATTTCTAGTCGCGGGAGGGAACTCGAGCTTGTGGTTCCCGCCGCCGTGCGTCAACCCGCAAAGGGCCCAGGCCGACATGAGGCCACTGCGCGGCCCTGCGCGTCACAATATTTTGTCACACGCTCATGCTGCCCACATGTCGGCCGACTGCCGCGCTGGAGCTGCCAAGAGGAGTGGTTGAATGCTGGGCTGGAACGATTCCGACGGCGCCCCGCCGCGGAAGTACCCCGTCCTGGAGGAGGGCGACGATGAGGTGGTCGACGGCTTCGAGCGCGGAAGAATAGATGATTGGCTATTCGAAAGAGAGGAACTTTGCCTTCTAACGCTCCACCAGCTTCGCATTCTCGAGCTGGATGTGAAGACCATGCTGGCACTAGTGGCTCCAGTCCGGCGGTTGGCATCACCCCCCAACTCTCTTCGGGCACCGACGATACCATGGTGGCCCTCGCCGTTCTTGACCAGAGAGTTTTGGAGAATATGCACGCCAGCGCCGAGCGGGAGATGAAGATCCTCAAGCTGAATTTCGGCAGTCTGCTCATCAGACAAACCAGAGTGTGATTGAAATTATTATGGTCACGCAGCAGTCCTTCACGGCCCTCTGCAACACAATGGTCGAGCACAGCAAGAGTATCGACAAGGCGGTGTACAAGAGGATCTGCAAGGCGGATGTGCACAACCCGCGGCTGGGCAAGCTTGAGCGCGAGGTGCATGATATCAAGCGCGAGGAGCCCCCAACGAAAGACCCCCGAACATCGACGAGTCCATCATCGTGGTGCAGTGTCGGACTCTTTCTACCCTTGGGCGCAGTATCGAAGGCAGTGTTCCTTTGGCTGGAGGATTGCCAGGTGCACGCTGAAGAGAGCACGGTGGAAGGAGAGCCCGTGGGGAAGCGGTTCAGCATCGCTTTCAAGGGCCACAAGTGCTACGCGGGCAGGAAGGTGCGGCAGGCCATCAGTGGTCTCAAACTAATTGGACGTGGTGCTGGTTGGAGTGTATTTCGGTTCCGTCGCCCATGTGTGGGGTCCCGGTGGAGCTTAGCATCAGCCCTGGCAAGAGCCAGAAGACGGTGGCCAGGTAGTTGTGTCGCAAAAAGATAGCAAATTCCCTCGCCAACTTGCACAGTGAGAGTATTTGTTCGTGGACAGGGAGAAGGCCGTCACTAGCTCGTCCTGCAAGGACTCCATCTCCTACGAGCCCATGTGTGGCAGCCAGGCGCCGACGATTCACTATAGCGGCAAGCATCTCAGGGCCTTCACCATGAACCCCGCTGCCATCCGCTCGATGGTCGCGAACCTCTTCGAGGAGGCGGAGACGACTGAGTGGCGTCTTCAGCAGGCCTCTCCGCGCGTGGAGACACACCTCACCAGCCAGGTCGAGCACCTCGATCACGCGCTGGAGCACCAGGGCTTTGCTGCACCATTACCTCCGACTCCGCTATCCGAAAATTGCACACCTCCGAACGCTGATCTCCCCGACCACTATCCTGGAAACCCAGAAGGCCCCCGGGGCCCTAGTGGAGGCTGAGGATATGGCGTGCCAGATATGCACGAACGCGCAAATCTTTCACTCTTCTGCTTCCAGCATGAATGCCGGCGGGCTGCTGGCATTATTTCTTGAGTTGGGCGTTGGGATCTCCTATCACGTTCGGGAGCTTGTTCCAGGCAGCGCGTTGAATGTGACTGCGCTTCTCGAGGGGTCCAGAGGTTGTTGGACCTCGTGCTGGAATGTTTTCAATGTTGGGCTTTCTCGGGAGGACAGGATGTGCGCTGCCACGGCAATCGGGTCGGGCACTACTGCCATCTTGCCAGACAAGCTCCCGAGAGGGCGCTGACGACTTCGGCGGGGGATTCAACATCAGAGAGCAACCTCCAATGCCCGCTTCGCCAGGCGGGACCTTGCAGCCTAACTTCGGCCGCCGTGGGCGGAGAGCTGGGCGGGGCCCTCTCAAAGCTTTTTGGCAGTTGGCGGAGATCAATCAGCCTGGCCCCGCGCAGCGCAGCATTGCGAACGGGTTGACCAACGTGATCGATAGGATCTTCGTTTCGATTCCTGGATAGGGTCTGGTTCAGTCGAATGCCCCGGGGTTCGCTAAGGACAGGACATCGTCGGAGTGGCGCGCCACAGTAGCCTCTCTGATCACGCTCCCGTCTCCGCGGGCTTCACGAGTGTTCCAAAGGCCCATCCCCGGGAGTGCCCTATCCTTACGTGGATCTGTTCGACTCGGTATTTCCAGGGCTCCATGAGGGGTCATCTGGATCCGGTGCCTCGGGAAGGTCCATCGCCACCGTTGAAGGTGGGCTCTTCAAAGAGCTTGATGGCGGAGGGTGCGAGGTCTGCTCGGAACGCGGTTCTTCACCATGGGCCGCGCTCGCGGCGCGCAGTATTCTGCATCGGTCGGTCGCGAGGGCTGCGCGGGGGCATGACATGAAACTTCGGGCGGCTCTCTCATGCAGGCTGGCGCCCATCCATGCTCGACCCCCGCAAGGGCCGGATGATCTCGGCGGTCGTCTGCGGCTATCGAACCCGAGGCAGTTTGCGATGGAATCCCCGATGAACCGACTAAATGTAAACATTTCCGAGGACACCCCCAGGTAAACAAGGCCAGTCGGAAACGTCGTCAGCAGCGACGTCGGCTGCAGAAACGCTCTGCGATTCTGAAAGGTTTCTGGCCAGGCCCTGAAGCGGCCACCAGCCTGGCCGCCACGTCGCCAGCGATCTGCCCCCACTGGGCCGACGTCCGGAAGGGAAGACGAGGAGGAAAAAGAAAGAGGGAAGGAAGAGGGAAGAACCGGCGAAGGCTCACGAAGGAATAGCGAAGGGGCCGGCCGGCGCGACAGCGGCGCCGCGCCCACCCAAAGGACGTCAGCATCAGCACGATGCAGGAGGCAAGCGCCAGCCCTGCCGTTGCCGCGGCCGCGGCGCCGTCGCCGCCGCCGCCGCCGTCGCCGGCGTTACCGGCGTCGCCGCCGTCGTCGGCTTCGCCGCAGTCGCCCGCACCGACGCTGCGTCGTCGTCGCCGCAGTCGTCGTCGTGGTCGTTGTTGCCTGTGTCGTTGTCAACGTTGTCGTCGCCGTCGTCGTTGTCGTCGTCATCGTTTTCGTCGTTGCCTGCGTCGTCGTCTCCTCTGTCGTCGTCGTCATCGTCGTCGTTGTTGCCTGCGTCGTCATCGTCGCCGTTTTCGTCGTCGTCGGCGTCGTCGTCATCGTCGTTGTCGTCGTCGTCGTTGCCTGCGTCGTCTTCGCCGTTGTCGTGGTCGCTGTCGCCGCCGTCGTCGCCGTCGCCAGCGTCGTCGCTGCCAGCGCTGCCGTCCTCCGTGCCGATCGAGGATCGAAGCTTTTGAACAGGGACCGGTCGTGGAGGAGGAGGCGCATCGGGACTACAGAGCCCGCGCTTTCGGCCACCGCGGGGCTGAAGGATGGCGCCTCGCCCCTGGAGTGCCGCACAGCGCGCCTGGCGAGCCCGATGCCACCGCGAAGCAGAGAGGAAAGCAGCTACAGTGTACCGAGAACGACGATGACGACGACGTTGCGGATGACGATGACGAGAACCGATGGTGTTGATGATGTTGATTATGTTGGTGGCGATGGCATTAGCACCGAACCTGATGACGTTGGTGACTTCGACCATGTTGAACGTGATTGCGGTGATGGCCACTATCTATTACTACGACGCTAATGATGATTATGACGATGATGATGATGTTGACGATGGTGATGATGATAATGATGATGATGATGATGGTGGTGGTGGTGACGGTAATGATGATGATGATGATGATGATGATGATGATGATGATGATGATGATGATGATGATGATGATGATGATGATGATGATGGCAACGATGATGATGATGTTGATCATGATGATGAAGGTCATGATTAAGATGATGACGATGGTTGTGATTATGATGATGATGGTGATGATGATTATTGCGATGATGATGATGATGAGGATGAGGATGATGATGATGATGGTAGTGGTAGTGATGATGATGGCAGGATGGTGGCCGTAATGAGGATGTTGATGATTTGGGTGACGATGCTTCGGAGCACTATGATTGCGATAAGGAGTGATGGCTGAGAATGGTGACGGCGAGGACGACGCGTATGACCATTGTGTTGGTAACTGGGACGGCGATGGTTCTGACTGACGGTGATGGTGATGGTTAAGATGCTGATGGCGTTGGTGATGGTGATGGCGATGGTGATGGTAATGGTGATGATGATGATGATGATGAGGCTGCTTCTGCTGCTGCTGTTGATGATGATGATTACCATGATGGTGGTGGTGGTGATTGATGCTGGCAGGATGGTGGTTCTGATGATGACGTTGGTGATTACGATGACGATGATTCGATGGACGGTGTTCACGGTGGGGAGCGATAACTGATGATGACAGCGTGGACGGTTGTTATGAGCACTGTGATGCTGGTGGGAATGCCGATGTGCGGTGTGTGATGGTGATGACGATGATGATGATGATGATGATGATGATGATGATGATGATGATGATGATGATGATGATGATGATGGTTATGATGATGATGTTGCTGCTGCTGATGATGATGCTGATCACGATGATGTTGTCGATGGTGAGTTGATGTTGTCGATGGTGATGTTAACGCTGATGCTGTTGAACATGCTGAGGATGGGGATTGTATTGAAGACGCTGATCATTGTCATGGTGGTGATGCTGATGCTGGTACTGATGCTAATGTTGGTGTTGTTGATGATGATGGCGTTGATACTGATACTGATGATGATGGTGGTGATGATGCTGACTATGGTGATGGTGATGATGATGATGATGATGATGATGATGACGATGGTGGTGGTGATTTTGATGGTGATGGTGGTGATGATGCAGATGACGATAATTATGATGATGATGATGATGATGACGACGACGATCATGATGATGGTGTTGATGATGATGATGATGATGATGACGACGACGATCATGATGATGGTGATGATGGTGATGATGATGATGATGATGCTGCTGCTGCTGCTGCTGCTGCTGCTGCTGATGATTATGATGACGACGACGACGACGATGAGACCAGGGTTTTAAGCCTGCCCGCCGTTCAGTCTGCCCCTCCGACGCCAGGCCCAGGCAGTCTGGCTGCGGCAAGAGAGGCGCGGCGCCGCCCCCGCACCTGCAGAGATGGGTGGCAGCCGGGACACGCGGGAAAGCGACCGTCCAGAGACGTTTGACTTCCTGGCGAAGACGACGTCGGCGTCGACGACGGCGACGGCGGCGTACGAGTTACTCTCTAGCTTCGCCGCTTCGCTCTTCGGGAAGCCTACGAGACTTTTGTCTCACGCGTTGTGGGTTGTATCCTTCTGTCTGTCGAATATTCAGGCCCGTAGCTGTAATAGTACTGTCACAAGACGTGGAGGAACACTTCGTACAAAATCTATACGATACATTCGTTCAGTTTTCAAGCTATTGCAAGAAAGTTACCCCCTCGTATTCTGAGCAATGATACGCAGGTTCAGATCTCTACGAGGGCCCCGGCGCCGGCTGCAGCGACGGCGACGGCGGCGGCGACGGCGGCGGGGACGCCGTCGCCAGCAGCGGAGGCGACGGCGACTGTGCAGCATTTCTCTGCTGCAGGGCCTGGGATGCCCGCTTCGCAAAAACGACCGGGGATGGAAAGCCAAGCAGCCATGCCCTGGGAAGGGGTCAAAAGGTCCAGGGGCCCACGTCTCAAACAAATCGAGCCGCTGGTTGTCCATGCCGGCGGGACTGTCGGCCACGCTCCTCGGGGCGCACATGGCGGAGTTCAGCCAAAATTGATGTCAACTGGTCCACTCCAATCTGCTCTGGCTGACTTGGATTTGGACGTCACACTGAGCCGAAACCCCCTTCTCCATCCCCCCGCTGGCCTGGGCTGAGGAGCTACAGCCAAGAAGCTGAAATGAAGCCGCCTTGGGTTCGAGGGGTCTCTGGTTCTCGTGCCGCTCCTCAGATCCAGGTCAGGAACCTATTCGTGGTCGAGGCTCGCTGTTTCCAGGGAATACATGTCGTTCCTACGGTCCCGCTGATGATTAAGAAACCTCCCCCCGAAAAAGCTGGCCCAGCGTTTCTTAACCAACTTGCCGGAAAGCTGGCTCAGTTTCCTGAGGGGACTGGCAGCCTTGGACCCTAGAAATGAATCGTGCACGTTCCTGGCTCCAAAAGCTGGCCCAGCGTTTCCTCAAGGAACTCCTGAAAAGCTGGCCCTGCTTTCTTAATTGATAGTTTATGTGTCAGGAGGGAAAGAAACACACAGACACAATTCATCGTCGATTTCCCAGAAAATATGGGAAGTGGGGGGGGAAGACAAAAACCCAGCAAATATAGGAAAGTATGGGGAATCTTTCTACTTGTGTGTATTTATTTGTGTGTCCCAGTCCCCTCCAGTGCAATCGTATGTTTGACAGCGTTCGTTACGGTAGCACGGTGACTGTGCCTCGTGGCCGGCCTGGGGCCGCAACATGGCCCCGCCGACCCAGGTCGGCGCTGACCCGGGCCAGCACGTCCCCGAGACGTTCCAGAGGGGAGAAAAAAAGTGGCGTAAGCATAACTAAACACTCGGGGGTCCGCGCGAATTTCTCGGATCGGCGCTGGGGCCCCCCAGCGGCGCCTCCGGCGCCGCCACTGGCGCGCTCCGCGCGCCAGGGAGGGGGGTCCAGCGCCGATCCGAGAAATCCGCGCGGACCTCCGAGTGTTTATGTTTATGCCACTTTTTGTTTTCCCCTAGTTCAGGATGGCAAAACACACACACACATAGGCAATGAATCGACGGCCCCCAGGAAGATGTAGGGGAAAATGTGGAAAGTGGGGGGGGAGACGAACACCCAGAAGATATTGGAAAAGATTATGCCTCCTGAGATTTGTGTCTAGGCATTGCTCAGGCTTTACGGCCGGTGCCGCCGACCCTGAAGATGACGACGATGGAAAGTGAAGGGGAAGACGAAAACCCAGAAGATATTGGAAAAGATTGTGACTCCTGGGATTAGTGTCGATTTTACTAGTGTGTCCCAAGGCCCCTTTAGGTTAGCGCTGACCCCGGTCAGCACGTCCCCGAGAGGCGGGGCTCGCTTTGCAGATGCCTTGCGTCCCGTGTTCCTCTAGAGAGGCCAGGCGGACCTCAATCGATTGAGAGTTTGACAGTTCGACGTCCTCGGTGTCCTGGGGCAGCGGCGTCGGCGCGGCAGAGAGGGGGACAGGCAGGACTGCTGGAGTCCACGCATGCCCCCATTACTCTTCTAAAGCCCAGCTCTTTCTCAAGGGTAGCATCCTTTGACCAGTTCTGCTTAGTGTGAGATCGTGATGCGTTCAGGCTGGTGCCCTGGACCAGGGTCCTTGGCATCTTCGTTGGACATCACCCTGATAGTTTGAGCGATGGTCGACAAAAAGCTTGCAAACCCACGCGCACAGCAGGGCGCCAGTGCCAGCTAGACATTCAGAACATGATGTCTGACATGCCCTCAAGAGGATCATGGGGATCACCTCGAGTCAGTTGATAATCGAGCGGGCCCAGCTGATCGATTGCGTTTGGTGTCCCATCTGGGCAAGCGGAGACGAATTCTGCACAACAACCTTGACCGTCTAAGCAGCCTCCCGATGTTCACGCCGTGGCACCAGAGGGGATGTTGTGATCCTTGTAGACAGGTATGGCAGCTGTCGCAAAGCTTGAGGCCACTGACGCCGCAGGCTCGACGGCGTGGGCTCAGCCCTGTCGTTCGCGGGAGAGGCTCAGGCTGAAGGTGCAGCGAGCAAGACACAGTACAGTCGCAATCCATAGTACGGACGCGCTGCTTCATCAAGGCTATCCTTGCATCGCTGCTTCTTCGGCCCACCCTGAGCCAATGTTGACGTCCAGTGGGCTCTAAAATGGTAAATGGAACTTGCAAGGGTCTTGCATTCTTATCTTGCATCCTTACTTGGCATGAGTTCTAGTGCAGGGACAGGCTGCAGCGACATTCGTTTTTTCATCAGCCCTGTGGGCCTACGGCTCAGCATGCCACTCGGCCGACTGACTGAAAGATTGCAGAGCAAGCCGGCTGAATGCACAGGCAGTGGCAGGGTGCCGACTCCGGGTGTCCTTAACTCATCGCTGCGCAGGGCCAGGTATGCCTCCAGGGCTGTGACGTGTCGTCGTGTCTGGAATGCGCCGTGCCACAGCGCCATCCACGGATCTCCCGAGGCACATGGCGCCGTGAGTTTTCGGTGATGCAGGTTGCACATGTCTTTGAACTTGTCGTGTTTCGCTCTTTCTCGCTCTTGGCTCTACCTCCAGAGACGGACAGCGCCGTGCACTTTCGGTGATGCAGGCTGCACCTGATTTGTACCATGCCGTGCTTCGCTCTTTGTCGCTCTTGGCTCTGTCACTTCAGCTGCAAGCCGATGCTGCGGTGCCGAGTCGAAGCAAGTGGCAGTAGGACGGCAGAGCGCCGGGACAGCCAGCACCAGCGAGGGGAGCGGGAGTTGACGGCAGCCTTCGCCAGGCTATGGTCCATCGAGAAAGAGACGGAGACCTTGCTCGCACGCAGCTCAGATGAGCGACAGAAGAACACGGGTGGATTGCGCCAGCTTGCGTGCGTAAGCTTCCCGTGCAAGGTGGCGCGTAGGCGCGCTCGTTTCCAATGGGGCGGGCCGTGCTGGCGGCCCGCGTAAGCGACGACGTAAGTTCCGGCAAGGCCAGTGTGCCATCTCACGCATGGCCCGTTTCTTATCGTCGCCAGATGGAGCGGAGGAGGAGGAGGAGGAGGAGGCATGAGGAGAAGGAGGAGAAGGAGGAGGGGGGGAGGACGAGGGGGAGGAGGAGGGGGAGGAGGAGAAAGGAGGAGGAGACATGAGGAGTAGGAAGAGAAGGAGGAGAAGGAGGAGAAGGGTCCTGCCATCACCTCCACGTGCAACAGCTATTTGATCGGCATGCCGCCGCCGTGCCTTTCCTCGATCTAATTTGCTGTAGGAGAAGTGTCTATGAGGCCGCTCATGGTTGGCCCTCGCCGTCCTCAGCGAGGAAAGCGAGCGCCTGGAAATCTGAGGGAGGGGCAGAGAGGGGAGAGGAGCAGGCAAGGGCTAGTGGGGGGGATAGCAAGAGAGAGGGATAGGTTGAAAGAGAGAGAGATAGAGAGACAGAGAGATTGAGAGAGATATTTAGAGAGAGAGGGGGAGAAAGAGAGAGAGAGAGAGGGGGAGAGAGAGAGAGAAGAAGATGGAGAGAGAGAGAGAGATTGAAAGGGAGAAAGAGAGAGAGAGAGAGAGAGGGAGAGTGGTAGGGCTGCGCAGGCCAGCCTCGCAATGCGGGAGGCGCCGCGGCAAGAGCAGGGGTGGGGGGTGCTGCCCTCCTCCCTGTCGCGGTCCGTCACTGGCCCGCCTGCACACCCGAAGAGCCAGGGCCGTGCTCGCCTCGGTGCCCCAGCGAAGCGTGGCGCCACCTTGGGGCAGTCCCCGACTAGACGTGAGAGTGACCCTTCGCCGGAGGGACCTTTGGTACGGGCACACTGGGTTCACCCGATCGCCGAACGCGATGCGATGGCAGCGCCCTGCGCGTCTTTGTTTGGCCCCCCCCGCGGCTCCCAAAAAAGCCGCGCACCAAAGGTCGCGCTTGCCCAGGGTCACTCTTGCGTGTAGCCGAATCCCCCGAAGCGGCCCAGTGCCAGAGCCGTGCACAAGCTGCCAACAATGTCCGCAGCGCGCTCCGAGCAGGGAGAGGCTGGCGCTGGCTTGGCATCGCTCGGACGTGTGCATGTTTCCTTCGGCGAGGACCATCGAGGAGCATCCTTGATCATTTGGCGAAACAACCACGCACGAAACCGAACAAAAAAACAGGGAATGGACGTCCGAGCGATGGCGAGCTGGTGTGCTAGCGGTGAGCATCGCGGCGGGCTTGGTGGCTTGCCTGGAGAGGCGGCCCCAGGGTGAGCAGGCGAACGGAAGGCCTCATGAAGGTCACTCCAGGTGGTGTGTGCTCTCTTCGGGAGCGGAAAAGAGGGGGGTGATGACTAGGGGGGGGGATATCATGGCGCGGGCCCTGATATTTCCCCAGATTTCATGGCGCCTCTTCTCATTTCATTACGTCCCTGGCCCCCCCGCTAGGCCGCGCACATGCCGCCGGTCATGATTTGCAGCCCCCCCTCTTGGACACCCCCCTCTTTGCCGCCCCCGAGGTCGCTCCAGGTGGTGTGTGCTCTCTGGATTGTGTTAAGACGGGGTCCTGGCTGTTTCTGAGTGCGACGCAGGATATGAACAAGGCTTGTAGCACACGGGTGCAGCGTCGTGCTGCTGATAGTGTGGGCAGTCCCGCGATCGAGGCCAATAGATTGACTGACGGCCGTGAAGCGTCGGGTGGCACGACTCTGCTCGGTGGGCTGTACTGGAGTCATTCGGATGCCTTCACACTGGCTGGTGGTGCTGAGGCCGTGAGGCCCCGTGTCCTGGTGGGATGGGGGTAGCGGCGCTGCGTTGAGGGCCTGGGTGTGCAGCAGCACTGTCCAGCCCGTCGGGCTGTGGTGGCGGCGCTGGCGCGCCTGGGGGCCCAGTCCGCGTCTCGTCGCCAACCCTACGCGGGTCCTCACTCAGGTCGTTCGCGCCTGGGGTGGGGTCTTGGTGGCCACCCACTCCCACAAGCATCATCGCCTTGTGCCTTCTCGGCCGTGCGCGATGCGATGCGATGCGACCACCGTTGCGGACAGTGTCCGGGCCTAGAGCAGACCAGGTGGGTGAGGCCATGGCCTCTAGGATCTGAGGTGTCTGGATTCACGCAATGCGAGACATGTAAAAAGTTAGGAGGAGAGGGGGAGGAGGAGGAAAAGAAAGCCCTTGGTGTCGGTGTCGGCGTGGGTTGGGCGAGATTACGTCATTGGTCTGAGTCCTGGGTGCTGGTCGACGTGAGGTAGCTGAAGTGGTGTTCGAGCGCTGTCCATGCTTCGGTGTCGTGGGCTGTTTGCGTCCATGTGATGTCGTTCGGTTGTCCTTTCGAATGGGCTTGCGTGGGCGGTCGGTGGAGGTCTGGTCTGCGTTGACGTAGGTACGTGGTGATTTCGTCGTCCCAGCGCTGGTTTTTGCCACCGTGCTGCCTGTGTCCCCGCTGGCGCGAGTTGAGGACTGGGTGCCAGCGCAGCACTCGCCATGTCCACCTCGTCCAGTCGTGGTTTGCGACTCGTGAAGCCATGCGCCAGACTTTCCGTTTGTGCAGCGTCTCCCAATTGTCGATGTGGTGGAGCTTCATGAGGTGTTCTGCGCGTCGTTTCGCTCGCTGGATGTAGTCGACCCATGGTTCCATTTCGTCTGCGGTGGTGCTGTCTTCGCCGTCTTCGCTTTGCTTGTCAGGCGTGTCAGGTGCATCACGCTGTGATGGGTTGCTGTCTGCGTCGTCGCTAGTGCTGTTGGTGTGGTCTTCGTGGTCTTGTGCTTCGTTGTTCGCGCCGTCGAGGTTAGGTCCCTGGCCGCTGTGAGGGCCGGCTTCTTTTGTTGTGCGTCTCCGTGGCGTTCTGATGATCATGCGAAGCATGCGTCGTTGTGTGCGTCGTAGATGCTGCCGTAGAGGCTCCGTGAGGGTCCACGTCTCTGCTCCGTATAACGTTGTTGGTGCTACAGTGCTGTTGAAAAGTCGGAGTCGGTGAGCCAGTGGGTAGTGTTTGCTGGTCAGCTCCTGCTTGCGAGACGTGAATGATGCCCATGCTGCTCGCGTGCGGTGGTGCATTTTCGTTTCCATCGGTTCGTGGAAGCTGATCAATTGGCCGAGGTATTTGATACTGCCTTCGTATGGGACGATTTCTACATCCATGTCTTGGAAACGTGCTGTGCGTGAGCTCGCCCTTCCGGTCCTTCTCGTCTGGTCGCTCAGTATTGTGGTTTTGCTTGGGTGTAGTTCGAGCCCGTGTAGCCTCGTCGCGCGCACAATGTCGTCAAGCATCGCTGTCAGGCGCGGGAGAGTTTGGCTGGTCAGGAGCACGTCGTCGGCGAAGCGTAGGTTGGTCAGCGTGGCGGTGCTCTCGAATCCCAATTCAACTCCCTTCCTTTTTTGCTGCCATTCGCAAACCAGCGGTCCAAGGATGTATTGTAGAAGAGCGTTGAAGAGTAGGGAGCTGAGTGGGTCTCCCTGCTCCCGCAGGAGGCTAAAGGGTCTGCTGCTGACGTCTGTCCTCACCGTGGCTGTCTGTCCCTCATAGAGCTGTTGGAGTAGTGCGACGTATCCAGGTTGGACCCCTTGTGCCTTCAGTGCTGCCCATATGCTCTTGTGCTCAACTGAATCGAAAGTTTTTTTGAAGTCAAGTGCTGCGACCCAGAGGTTTTGGCCCCATTCGTTTGCGCGCTCGCGCAATAAGTGGAAGGCAAAGAGGTGGTCAGTGGTCGAGTGGCCTGGCCTGAAGCCCGCCTGGTCGGCTGTGGGGAGGAAAAGGGAGGGGCGGCAGGGGCTGGGCTACGTTCCGAGTGGTCGGGCCCTCATGTACCCTTCGCGGTCGGCGACTTGACGGCTGGGGCTGGGTCCTGGTGGCCCCCCACCTCCAAGGGCGTCCCGTGCCGTCCCGTCGCCCTCTCGACATCGCGGTGCACAACGTGCCGTCCCGTAGCACTGCACACCGCGCCGAATTGTCCCACGCTCACCGCCGTGGTGCTCAGCGTGTTCACGCTCGCGTTGTCGTGCCGTCCCATCGTACCGCTCAATTTCGTGGCAGGCGGTCCGTTGATGCTACACAGCGTTGGGGTGCTAGCCGCAGACGAGATGTTCACGGACGTGGGGCTCGTTGCTTTGTTCGCCCTGTTTGTAGATGTGCGATTGTTGGTATTGGATCCCGTCGTGATGCGCCACGCCGTGTTGCCCGATCCCGTCGAAATGCTCGGTGTTGGGGTGCTGATCCATGGCGTGCTGCTCAGAGACGTGTTCGTTGTGCTGCTCGTCTCACTCGTGTATGTGAGGCTGTTGGTGTTGAGTCCCGTCGTGTTGCTCGTAGGCGGCCGGGCGATTGGGGCGGGGTCCTGGTGGTCACCCGCCTCCAGAGGCATCATCGCCTTGTGCCCTCTCGCACGCGGGGAGGGCGTGGGCGTGACAATAGAAAGAGCGTGTTCTACCGCTGCTGGCGGAAAACCGGGGGGGGTCACTACCGGTTCGAACCCCTCCCCCCCCCCCCCCCTCCGGAAAACCGGGGGGGGGTCACTACCGGTTCGAACCCCTCCCCCCCCCCCCCCCCTGCTCATCATGAAAAGGGGGGGGGGTCACTACCGGTTCGAACCCCTCCCCCCCCCCCCCCCTCCGGAAAAACCGGGGGGGGTCACTACCGGTTCGAACCCCCCCCCCCTCGAAAACCGAGTGGGGGTGCGGACAGTGGTGGGGACGGTGTTGGTGGGGACAGTGGTGAGGGGATAGCGGGACAGTGGTGGGGACAGTGGGACAGTGGGACAGTGGTGGGGACGGTAGTGGTGGGGACAGTGGTGGGGACAATGGTGGGAACAGGGGGGGACAGTGGACAGTGGTGGTGACGGTGGTGGTGGGGACAGTGGTGTGGGGACAATGGGAATGAGGTGGAAACAGTGGG